ACTTGAACCTATATGGGATACGATATGCATAGTAAAGACTAACTTTATTTATTCATATTGGATTCAATTTCAAGGGTATAATCACTCAAGACATTTTTGTTTGAGTTAGATTTAAATGTCAAACTAGCTATGCTCAAAACACACATTAGATATAACTACATGTAATTAAAAATATATTATTAAATTTACAAATAATAAAAATAAAGATGATATTAATAATGCTATTATTGATTATGATTTAAAGATTTAATAGATGATGGTGATGGCAACGACGATGATTATTTAGAAAAGGAAGAAAAAGAAGCCCATGAAAATTACGGCAATAATGACACCCATCAACATTTTTTGGGTTTTTTCAAGGCGCAATCCAAGTTCACTGCGAGATTCTTGTATTTCCGTAAAGGATTTTTTTAAAGTGTCGAGAGATTCTCTTAATTCTTTTTCGCGTATCGCATAAGATTGACATCGTTTATCCATCTCTGTTAATTTCACTGAAAGATCGTTAACTCGTATCGTTGATGTTTTTAGTTCACGGCTGAGTGAAGCGATCTTTTTGTTGTTATCGTCAGAGTCAACGGCACGCTTTATTTCAGCCAATCGTTGTCTCGTTTCTTTCTTAAAATTGACAAAATTTACATCAAAAGACGATTCTGAACTATTGTTATTGCTGCTATGCACGTTTAAGTGGGAATTCAAAGAGTTACGTCGAGGAATAAAACTCGTGTCTTTAGGTTGCGCAGAGTGTGACGAATCAAAAGAATGCCGGCGTATCATTGAACTTGATTTATCATTGAAAAGTATGTGATCATTGATGATACGTGATTCATTTGCCGTTTCTTTAGAATACTCAATTGATTTTCTTCGAGGAATCTTCGAGATACGTGGTTGTGAAGACGGTGATCCTCGAATATCAAGCTTTATTTCTTTAGAATTAATGATGATTGCACCTTTATCAACTGGATTTTGCAAATTTGGCGTAATTATTGAATTTATAACCTTTGATATTACAACCGAGTCATCATTATCAAAGTTAGGTGTTAATGCAGAGTTTCGTAGGATAGTCATCACCGAGTTTATGGGTGAATTATTGTAAGAATTTTCTGAAAGATTAGATTGCACCTCTTCGACTTTTCCTTTCCCTTTTAAGATAATTGATGAACTATTTGTATTCGAAGGGTCGTCAATAGATTTTGAAGCAATAACTTGTTCGTTAATGTCCCTTGAATTTGACTTTGAAATATTCATTTCGTGTTTATCAGGAGAATCTTGTTTTGTTAAATTCTCGGATTCAAAATGAATATCCGCTTCCCCTTTAGTTTGATCTTCGATTATTTTTTTTGTCCTGGTTTCTCGATCTTCAAGTTTATCAGGTGACTCGGTGCGACCGCCATTTTTATGAACTACAAAAGTCATTTTTTCGTCGTCTTGGGATAATGACGCAGCAATTATAGGTTCTTCATCTGAACCCGACAAAACTTTCGGATTGTTGATACCATTTTCAATTAGTTTCAGTGAATCTTTATTGAGCTCGACCAATGGGTTCATTGATATTATTGATGTATTATTATTATCCCCGTCATTTTTTTTCAATGTGAATTTTCCGTTCATAATTACGGAATTTGAACGAGGTCTGCTCTTAGTATTCGCTGCTGAAGCGCCATGACTATCAACAAGTACAGAATCTTTATTGCCAGCTTGCGAAAATACGGGAATCCTAGTTGTGCCAAACGAATTGGATCGAGGTCTAGACAACAAAGATTTGCTTTCCGAATTTTCATTTCCATTGACAATATTGGCTTTGTTATCGTCATGTTGAGCTATAGGAATTGGAAGTTTACTATCCAAATCTATAGAATTCAAACTGGATCGACTCGACGCAGCTTTAAGCAGTATAGATTTATGTGACGGATTAAGCTCTCCATTGATAATTGTGGCAGTATTGTCATCTTCGGGAGGAATTGGAGGCTTTCCATTAGAAACTAATGAATTGGATCGAGTTCTATTCAACATGTTTTTTACATGTGACTTAGAATTCTCCTTAGATTTCCCTTTATTAATGTTACTTTTATTAATATTATTGTTATTAATCTTACTATTTTTATTATTATTGCTGCTATTAATAATATCATTGTCATTATCACCATCATTAGATAACTTTGCTTGATTGCTTAGGAGAGAGGTCAAGGACTGTTTTCTTTTTAGCTCTGCAGCTTCTTCAGTCTTTACCTACATAGTCATAAGCATATTTCTATTGTAAGTACATTATTAAAAAGCTTCGGCGGTCAAGCGTAAATTATTTAAAACTTACCTCTACATTTTTCTCTGCCAGTCTATCTCCAAATGCATCAATTTTATTTCTAATATTTTTCAAGAGACGATTTGTTTCTTGCGAATTCATAATTTCACGCTGTTGAATTAAAAATTAATAGAGTTCATGCATGTAGACAATAACTAGAAAGAAAAAGCTTAACGATATTTACCTCAAGTGAAGAATTTATCATTGACACAAGTGATCCATTCTTTTGGACTCCTACTCCTCGCTGCTAATATTTGGTAAAAAATTGAAGTCGGTTAGATAAAAATATTTTTTTTACGGGCATGATAATTTAAGCAATATACTCACATCATCACCGCTATATATACAAGGTGTAAAGAAATTGACTAATCAGTAATCAACGATTAAAACGTAAAGGAGACAAAATAAATTTTTATGCATTTATGTACATAATATAAACCTTGATATATTGTTAGGATCAATTGGTAGTCCACTAGTCAATACTTTCGCTGAAACTTTTTTATACATTATCGTGTGATTATCATCTCCCAAGATATCGATCCCAAACTCCTATCAAGATTAACAAGAAAAAAGTCAATTTATGACAAGAAAGTGACCCTGCGTGTTTAATCTATCAACTTACCAAAATATCTTCATGATGAAGCTCCTTTGGCTCGCTTTCCGAACCTTCTGGACTCAGCCTATGATTGTTCACAAAAGTGCCATTACTAGACTTCAAATCCTTGATATAAACCTTTCATATTCACGAATTAGGTCAGTTATAAATTCGAAAGAACAAAATTCATTCAGCTCTGTCTTACCTTCCCACGATCGTTCCAGACTTCAGCGTGTGTTCTCGACAAGACTTTACTATCAAAGTACCCATTGTTCTCGGACGGGGTAGTTTTGGCGTTCGTCTGTCTACCGATTTTTACTTTCTCCTTATCCGACAGGACAAACTTTTTCGTGGTGAATGTGTTATTTAGTGGCTGTAGTAAAACTACTATAGGCTGCTGCTGATTCATAGTTGCCGACGCTGTGGGATGAATCTTCATTACACGTTTTCCTCCTAGATCGTGTTAGACAATTATTTAATAAACTATTAAATTCACCTTTAGACAAATAATTATACAAAGAACGTACAGTTTTGTGTAAATGTTTTTCAGTTTGTCAAGTTTTCTCACGAAAACTAGAATAGCATTCGCCCTGAATAATTAAAAAAAGTTATTACCTCGTGGTTTATTGCCACTTAGTTTATTGTTGGGATTAACGTGAATAAAAGACATTCCGGTAGAATGTCAGCTTTATTCTAACTAATTGCCTATGGCGATCGCCAAGATATATAACGTGCAAGCAAAATTCGTAAGTTACTAATGTGTCGAGCACAAGTTTGTTGAGACAAGTGGGGGACCACAAAGAAAAGTTGATTTATAGTAATGATTGTTGACAAACACGAAACTTGATCGACAACTTTGTAACTTTTATCGGATGTTACATAACAAATCTTGTGAATTGGTGTGAGGTGTGAGACACTAGAAAGAGACAATCCGAAAATGGTTAGAGATAATTTGGCATGTCTCAAAGTTCTCGAAGTGAATGTCTTATATTAATAAATATCAATTACTTGTATTAATATCCCATATTATTAAATTAATAAATATCAATAGCTTCATATGTTATATGTCTTATTTTTCTGCTAACTTGACAATAGAGCTATCCCGATTCACTTTATCAGCTGTTCCTTTTATTGGCTGTATCTCAGAGTTTCTAAGATGGCTTCTAATAAAAGTTCGTAGATTCGGAATGGAACTGGGAAGTCTCGTTATTTTCCATATATGCTATATATGTACGATTTTATCTCGTGGGATTAAGAAGTCATGTTTTCCATACAAGATGATGTCATTGCTTTACTCGGTCAATTATCCGGCTTTTAACTCTTGAATATACCGAATAAAATAGTTTTTTAGATTGTATACATTAACAATGTTTTATTATGATTAATTACAAGATATTATCAGATGTACAAAATAAAAAAAAAATAAAACCAACAAATTGTCATTTTAATGTTTAGTTTGTTAAAACCCCCATGTATTTTTTATGTTTGAGTGTATAAAAAAATAAATTAATTACAAAAAAATGAATTTTTTAAAGAAAAAGCAAAAAATAAAAATTCATCATAATAGCTGAAAATAAAAAAATCTAGTAGTAATAATAACGAAATAAATGGATAATTAATTAAGCATTGATAATAATAATGTTACTTTTTTATGTATATTTGCATGTGTATTTTTTAGATGAGTGAGCGAGAGGAATAATTTTTTTTTAACATAATGGAGGTGGGATTGAAAAGATGAATTTATATTAGATTTTTTGTATATAAAAATATAAGTATCAATAGTGATGTATAATTGGCAGTATTAATAAATATTTTTTCAATGTCCATCCAGTGATTTGAATTGGTGCGAGTGAGAATGTAAAGAAAAAAAGAATATGTGCAAATTAAAAAAAGAAGAAAATATTACAGTAGAAAAAAAGGAAAATCAAGAGTCTCTTATATATATGAATATAATTGTAATGTATGCTGTAATTATGTATTATGTATGTATGATGTGTATATATGAGTTGAGTGAGGGTAAATCTGTATTTGGGGGATAATTATGAATGGAAAATGAATTTTCTATGCACTGACGAGATTCATCCATCTCAAGTTTACTATATTTTACACTAGAGTTCTTTTAGAAGTTTCCGCCCAATGACAGCACAAATTGTACCTCTGTATGTGCGTGTGTGTGGTGATTAAGCCAACTGTGGATCAAAGGAAAGCGACTCCCTTCTTTCGGATGTAAAATAGGAATCTCTCCGTTCGGGATTCAACAAAAGACTCGATGACCCACTACTATCACGCCTCTCCAAATTAAATCGTTCCGGGAAGATGAACGGACTAGCAGCCGCAGCGCCTCCATTGCCAAAAGAATTAGAGAAACTCAAAGAATCACGTCTTTCTAATCCGTAGCTCGACTCTCTTCTGTCACACGACGACAATGTGTTAAACGCAGAGTCACGTCTTTCAAGACCGTAATTAGAATCACGCCGCTCAAGCCCATAATTCGAATCGCGTCTCTCCAAATTAAAATTGGAATTACCACGATCCGATAAGAGACTATAAGTGGAGTCACGTCTTTCTAACCCAAAGTTACTTCCACGCCGTTCTCCACTATGATTATTATTGTTGTTACTTCGGACACCGAGTGGATTCTTTGAGAAACTCAATCTGATTCCACCCTTGATCGAATTCGAGAGAAGATTGCCGTTTAATTCAGCCATGGCTTGAGTTGCATAGTGTACATCTTCAAATTCAACAAAACACATGGGACCATTTTGTTTGGTGCGGAAACACATACGCTTGTATCCGGGACACTTTGAAAACATTTCTTTCAACTCATCTTCAAGAGTATTCATTGGTAAGTTTCCAACGTACAATGTATTACACGGGGGATTTTGGTCAGCTGGATTCGGAGGACGAAAACCAGGGATAGAGAGCGGCGACGAAGAGAACCCGGATGGAGGTAATACGGTAGGATTCATACTCAAATGTTGCATTTGATTGGCGAGCCCATCATTCACCAATAGTGGAGTATGAAATACATTTGCGGAAACCTTTGTTGATAATGAATTAGATAAAATATCGACAGGAGTGGATTTCGAATTAAAGTAGTTTAGATCGTCACAATCGCCCAAGAGATTTTTATATCGAATCCCCGCAGACCCGCCTCCAATACCACCAATAGAATTACAATTAACACCAACACTACTCCCACCGATAAGACTGCTACGTTGACCAATAGTACCAGCAGAACCAATCATACCGCCGATAGGCACAACACCAGCACCATTTGTAGCATCGAATGAGCCACGGGCCGTGGCAAAAGGAGAATTATCATTTGGAAAGATAGGAGTTGTGGGTGTATCCGGCGTATAAACACTTACATCTGATAAATCATATCCGTAATCACCGTAATCTTGTGGTGATAATAAATCACTGGGAAGTGGTGGAGCACCATACAGATAGTCGTAGTTATTACCACCAGCAGTCGATGAAGAAGATGATAGCGTGTTAATATTGCCAGGTCTTTTTGTGGGAATAAATGGATATGAAGACACAGATGCGGCGGCGGCAGCGGCAGCAACGGAAGTTGCAGTAAGAGAAGTGGTACTATTATTGTTGCTGGTGTTGTTTTGTGATTCATTGGAAAGACCGCGTTTATTGTGTAAATTCTTTTTTGCCATTTCCGCTTTGAGAACTGATCCTTTTTCTGCATCGACCTTTTTTCCACTAAGAACGTTTCGTGCATTTAAAGCTTCATCTCTGGTACGGAATTTAGCAAATCCGATCTACACATATCACAAAAGATCATTGATAAATTGAAAATCAAAAAAAAAATATGAAAAAATATTAATTAAAAAAAAACTTACAATCTGTTTTCTCGAATTAATTCCACTTCCATTAACACTACTGCTACTTCCGGTACTTCCATTCGCCTCATCACTTTCTTCACCCGCAGATGAGGAAGCCGAATCTTTATGAGGTACCTTGAGGGTAGCAGCCTCGAATCCCGGAGAGAAGATAAACATGTTTTGAAACTCTCGTTCCTGCATATCCTCGGGGAATCCCACCACGAAAATTGTTGATATTTCTTCGTTGATCATTTTTTCCTGGGATTAATATTAAGTGTATGTGTATTTATTTATTATGAACTATTTAGTGTAAAATGATTATGATATATGTTGATGATGATGTGAGAATGCGGATTATTTTTTTTAGTGAATATAGAAAGTATGAAGAGAACTATTGATGTATGTGTTATTTACAAAAGAGGAACAATAATATAATAATGCAGAATTAAAAAATATGCTATACTTTATATATAAATTATATAATGTTGATAAGCAAAGATATTAAAAAATATCTCGGGAATTTGCGCAGTGACTTATGTTGTGTTTCTATGTGGTGTAAAGAGACAACAAGGTAAATTATATTTTTTGGGGGGGTAAAAAAAGGGGAGTGATCAAGCGAGCAGAGGGAAAACGCGAAGACAACCTCTCTTCTTGGGGTAAGAAAGGTTGCTCGAGATGCTATGAAAAAAGGGGGCAAGAATGTGTGTTTTTTAGATGCTAGAGAAAAGTTTTTCTTCACCAACGATATTACTACAAGTGTATGAAAATGAAGAATAATTATAACAATGAAATAATGAGTAATATGTGGCTGCTACTATGTACATATATGCTGGGTGGTCGAAATGACGGAAATGCGAACGTTTTCTGGGATTCTACTGCCAGTTGTTGAGTTGTAATTCGAGTGGTGAAAAGTGGGTGGAAGTAAAAGAGAAAAGAAAAATAGCAAATGTGGAAGGAATATAATAAAAATAGGCACCCTATTTTTTTTTAATTTTTATTGTGGTCGTCGATTTAATTGTTGTGTGAGGGTTGGTGTTTGTTTATGCAGAGATACAGAGAGAGGAGTTATTTATTATGTTGTGGAAGGAAAGTGGAAAAAAAAAACGAGTTAGTAATTTGATTTATTGATTAATTGATTGATTAATGTAAATTCAAAAAAAACGAGCGAAGATACAAAAAGTGGCAATATAAGAAACGACGAAATGAAAAAAAAAGTGCGAGTGAGCGAGCGTGTGTGAAAATGTGTATTTCGCTCTTTTTATCTTGACTCACAAACAACTCTTTTTTGCATTTTTCACGTTCATATCTCTTTATTTTATCTTAATAATGATAAAGTGCAGCATTAATAAATTATATATTAACCTTTATCTTATCGACGACGATGTTAAGATACACACAGACACGCGATGATAATGTTTAGATTAAATAAAGAAAAAAATAATAATAAAAAAATAAAATTTAAAAAATGATGAGAAATTATGATGGAGATTTTAATATGAGGATAATAATGAAAAAGGACCAGGAAAAAGTGAAAAAGAATAATGTTTAAATGATGATGAAGATGAATATAATGCTTGATGATGATTTATGATGAGAGCAATTGTAATGGAAGATGTTTGTCTTTTAAACTGGTTAGTTAGCTACTGAAGTTGCTTGTTTTAATGCTGATTATGATGATGATGCTGGGATGCTGAGATGCTGAGAAATGCTGGATGCTATAATAATAAATAAATAAAAGCTTGTATGAGCTCGTGTTTTTATTTATAATTTAATATAGAATTTAATTTATACGTTGTTGATGACGAGACAACGTAGGCAAAGAAAAAGAGAAGGAAGAAGTTTAGAAATAGTAAAATAGTAGGAGGAGGAAGAGGAGGAAAGAAAAAGAGGAATTGAAAGTGGAAAGGAGACGGGTACCTATTTATTTCGAGAGATTGGGACGATTGGGTTGGTCAATGATAAGTGGTATTTGAAAAAAATATGAAAAGTATTGGGCGTTTATTACAAATAAATAAATAAATAAATAAAATTTTTTTCGCTTTCCTTTTAGGAATAAAAAACGGGGAATTTTATAACCCACCAACAATAACAATAAATATAATATATACGGATATAAATAATCTTATAATAATGATATGATATTCATGAAGTACAATGGAAAAAATCATTTAAAATATAAATACAATAAATAATATTATAGATATTAGTTGAGCTAATATTTATTTATATTTCCATCAAAACAATGAATGAATAAATACAACAATAAATTAAATTCCCTGGCATTATTAAATTCCCTAGCATTATTGTTATTACTGTTTTTTTTTTTTGATATTTGATATATTTAATTTGGAAAGCTTAAACTAAATCCCTTTAAAACGAAATTGAAGAAAATCATATCAAATATAAATAAATTAGTCACGCTTTTTGTGTTCGAATTCTGCATATATCGATGATAGTTGTACAGACATCTAAACTCGTAATAAAAAAAAACATGTCTCTCTTGTACGGAGGGAGAGGCAGGAAAGGGGAAGGCAAGTATATAGACGGATCAATGGGGATCTATATTATAATCAGGTAAATAGATATAGAGATAGATCGGGAGGGCAAGGGGCAGGCGGAAAGTATTATAAATAAATAATATATTAGATATATCATTTAATATAGTGACAATAATAAAAAACCCTTTGCAAAAAATTTAATTATCACTGTTGCCGATTATTACGAAAGATTTTTTTTCGTCATCGTAACAACAAACAATAATAAAAAAAAAGAGAACCAAAATAATATGTAATATATAAAAAGGAGAACGTGATTATGTTGACATTTGAGAGTTACCTGTTTTGACCAAGTTGTAACATTTGTTCTACGTAATAACATCCATAGTGGTAGTCTACTCCACACAATCATTTTATTATTATTTATATTTGCAACACATGAATGATTTTATTATCTAAAGCACGGATCTATTTATCGATCTTTCTTTATATTTGGCGGAATAGCACAAATTGTAAAAAAAAAAAATAATAAAAACTTAATTAAGCAGGTTAGGCATTCAAACGGCATCAATTAAAAACAGGGAAATTCCTGTTTAATAATTAATACATTATGAGATGATCTAAAATTAGGAAATTTCAAATTCACGGAATAATTTCGAAAATTTTATATTTATAAGAGTTACCATTAATATTTCAGAGGATCGAAGATAGAGAGATTTCTACCATCAGAAAATTTAATTGGCTGAATTTAAAATAACTTGCAAAATGCTTAAACATGTGAAAAATGAGAACAGAGCTAACCAAACTTTTTAAAAACCTAAATATTTTTTTTTTGTGGCGTCCTTATCTCGAAGAATTGCCCGGTTCCATTTCAGAGATTCTTTGCTTTATTATTAATAAACCCAGGCCAAAGGGAGATAGAGCCCACGAAAAGAAATAAATATTTGACTATAAAAACTAATAATAATATTTTATAGATTATAGAATATAAAAAGATTATATAAACTGTTGAACCAAACCCCCTCGCAGCATTAACAATAAAAGAAGTATAATTACTTCCTTATCTTTTAAAAAATGACGATTTTTGTTTACCAGTAAGAAGCGATATCAAGAATAAGACAGGATACTAACAGTGTTTGCCTCCCCCAAAGTTAGTAGAGCCAAAACAATGTAATCTAGTATAATATCAGTAATAAAATCGACGCGTCTATAAAAGTATTTTCGCCCCATACGAATTATTATTAAATCTTCCCTCATAGTTATTATTTTGTTCGAGATTCTCCTTCAAAAATATCAAACCGATACATTGTCTAAAATATTTCAGTCACATGAGCAAATTGTATTTGAATTTTCTAACGTCTAACGAATGATGACAATATAGAGTCACACACACGCTACCACGCGTTTTTTTTTGTCTGATACAACGTATCAAAGCATATATGAGTGTGGGAAGCTTTTTAGGATATCAAGACATCATTCATTAATATTTATAACCATTCCTCTCTTTCGCATACGTACACCCGAATTTTTTTTCAAGTTATTTTAAATCTTTTT